ATCCATTTTGAGTTTATCTTTGTGTACGGTGTAAGAGAATGGTTGAGTTTCATTCTTCTACATATAGCTGTCCAGTTTTCCCAGCACCATTTATTGAAGAGACTGTCTTTTTTCCACTGTATATTTTTTCCTGTTTTGTCGAAGATTATTTGACCATAGAGTTGAGGGTCCATAAAAAAATAAATAAATAAAATAAAATAAAAAATAAAAACAAACAGGCTTGTATATTATGACATCTTTAAAGATATCATAGGCACCTTTTCATATTAAATGTTCTTTTTTTAATAGCTGCCTAATGCACCCCATAGATATCCCACAATTTAAATTTCCATGATAAGGGAAGCAAGCATAGGATGCTCTGGTGAAATCCACTGCATTTCTACAAGCCAATTCAATTCTTGCAAAGTGCCAAATGCCCAATAATTGGGTACTTATTTAGAGTAACGATGAGACATCAAAAGAAAAAGTATTATATAGGCATTCAAGTTTTAATTATTAAAAGTATTTTAAAGATAGGGAAGATGAGGGAAAAGGATACAAAAGAATGTACATAATTGTGGCAACTATGTAAGAATATGTACATGTGGATAATAAGGAAATAATAATTACTAATAAAAATAATTCCAATGATAGAGTTCTCAAAAAAATTTTTAATACTACAGGAGCTTTTCAGGAAAAAGCATATGTTGGCCAACTTTTATACCTGACTGAGTATTGACTGTATACGTCAACATTCGTAGACATTCTAAGGTGCACACGTCCTGGAGAAAACTTGGTCTCTAATCTAGAAGAGTTACATTACCTGTCACATCTCCTTTATTTCTTCTTTTAGAACTTAAGAAATTACAGTTTCATTTGTTATTGCTACTTAGTCATACTGACCAGAGGCATCTTGTTTTACTCGTCAGAAACACTTTCATTTTAAAAAATAATTATACATTAAAAAATTTCTAAATAGAAATGTACAGAGAGGTGGATGGTAAAAAAAATCTCCCTCCTATTCTTAATCCCCCAACCAGCCAATTTACCTCCCCAGGGGCAACTGCTGTTATTAATTATTATTTATTAGGTTCTTCGGTAATTCCAGAGATACTCTATGCATATACAAATATGTGTATATGCAAACAACTTATATATATAACATACAATAAAAATATGATATGCAATAAATATATATATATTTTTTTAAGATTTTATTTATTTATTTGTCAGAGAGAGAGAGAGTGAGCACAGGCAGACAGAGTGGCAAAGGGAGAAGCAGGCTCCCTGCGGAGCAAGGAGCCCGATGCGGGACTCGATCCCAGGACGCTGGGATCATGACCTGAGCCTAAGGCAGCTGCTTAACCAATTGAGCCACCCAGGTGTCCCTATATATATATTTTTTAACCCATTAAAAAATCACAGAGAGGGGAGAGGGGGATATGGGAAATTGCCAATCAATAGGTATAAAGTTTCAATTATGCAAGAATAAGTTCTAGAGATCTGCTGTGTATCGTTTTGCCTGCAGTTAACAATATTATATCATACACTTAAAATTTGGTAAGAGGGTAAATGTTGTGTTAAGTGTTTTTACAACACAATATCATAGTAGCATTCTATACATACTTAGCAAAAGGAAAAAAAATCTTCCTTTTTTATTAAACAATTTCCATTATGTAAATAAACGATATCCTATAATATTCCCTTGTATAGCTAAACCATATTTTATTTAACCAATCCCTAATTAATGGATATTTAGATTTTCCTGCCCTTTTGCAATTATAAACAATGCTATAGTTAATACCCTTATAAATATGACATCATGCACATATGCACGTGTATTTAAAGGAAATGTTTCTAATAGCACCATCACTTAGTTACAAGACACATATATTTGTGGGACTTCTGGGTGGCCCAGTCAGCTGGGTATCTGACTCTTGACTTCTGCTCAGATCATGATCTTAGGGTCATGAGACTGAGCCCTGCCATGGAGTTTGCTTAAGATTTTATCTCCCTTTCCCTGTCTTCCCCCTGCTCACACGATCTTACCTCTTTCTCTCTCTCTAAAAGGAAAGAAAAGGTGTTGACGGGCAGGGGAGGGGGTTTCCTGTGTGGCATAGTCAGTTGGGCGTTGACTCTTGGTTTCAGCTTAGGTCATGATCTCAGGGTCCTGAAATCAAGCCCATGTCCTGCTCTGGGTTCTGCAGGAGTCTGCTTGTCCCTCACCCTCCCCTTCCCCACCTCCCCTGTCTGTCCGCCTCCCCCACCCCGCACATGTGTGCTCTTTCTCAAATAAATAAGTCTTTAAAAGATAGATAGCTAGATAAATAGATATTGACAAATCCTTCCATGGCAATGGTACCAGTTCAGCAACTTTCTATAGAAGTGCTGTTTCCCCATTAAATAGCAGGAAGCCAGTAGAGTGAAGAGAAGAGGCAGATAACCTAGCCTTGGGGTGCTCAACCTGGCCGCACATTAGAATCATCTGGAGTTCTTATTTTAAAATACTGGTATCTCTTGGCAGAGACACTGATGTAATTGGTCTAGGTCAGAGCCCAGGCACTGGTATTGCTTGAAAGCTTCACATTTGTTTCTAAGACAGAGTTGAGAGTCATTAAATGATACCCAATGAGAGTGCTAAGCATTGAAGAACTTCAGTGATTATATATTATGTTCAAAAATTAAGGATACTTATTGAGGGCGTACTACTTGCCAAGCATCTATCAGCGACAAAGACACACATAGTTTCTGTCACCACATGCAATTTAAAATGAAGAGTTTAGGGCGCCTGGGTGACTCAGTCAGTTAAGCGTCTGCCTTCGGCTCAGGTCATGATCTCAGGGTCCTGGGATGGAGCCCCACATCAGGCTCCCCGCTCAGCAGGGAGTCTGCTTCTTTCTCTGCCCCTCCCCCGTGCTCGTGCACGCACTCTCTCTCTCTCTCTCTCTGTGTGTCAAATAAATAAATAAAATATTTTAAAATACATAAAAAAGTAAAACTGACAGTTTAATGATTGATGATACTTTTAATCCTGAAAATGAAAGGCCCAAAGTTGTTATTGTTCTATTGTAGATATCTTTTACTTTGTTGCATAATATTATGTGATGATGGTATGCAGCCATTTCCCACATGAAGTCCTCATGTGACTGTCCGAAGGTCTGAATCAGGAAGCTCTTTCCCATGGCCTAGACTGGTCCAGGTCTGAAGGGTTCTGACCACTTCATCAAACCTAATAATAACATTAGCAATGACCTACTCTTGCCCAGAACACTGCTAATTGCTTTCCCAGATATCATTTAAAGCAATAGTCCTGCTGGGAGAACTAAGTGGCCAAATGGAAGAAAACCAATAGAAATGATAAGGGCTGAGATAAAGATGAAACAATTTGTTTTATTGTATTTATTAATAATATAAAAATATTTTTTGTTCTTACTTGAAAAGAACTATCATTAATTCAGGGTAGTTAGTTTTCAAATGTTTTTCTGATCATGATTTCGTATCAAGGCATAATAATATACACTTTGGACTAGGATCATCTGTAACGGTAGTAGATGTAAAACCACCATGTTGGATATCTTTTTGATAACTTCAAGTGTTTGAGGCCAATTTCTCATCAAGTCTAACTAGACTGCCATTTTGAAAATCTCACAGTGTTACTGCAGTGGACCTGTTACCAGAAGCGGGGGGAAATGTTAGTCTTGCCTCTTTCTTGCTGTTTGCTTGTTGCCTTGGAAGTGTTATTTTTATTATGCAGTTTCCGTAGAGATTCTTTTTCAGCCACCTGTCCATTTAATGAAGGCTGGGTGAGTAAAAGTAACAATATAGTCTGCAGATCCACGTAACCAGGCCTATAAACTTCGACACATGGCAATACCCTGACAGCAAATGAGCAAGTGAAGAAACCACTGTCGTTCCCTTGGCCTTGTGAGCTCCTGTTCTGCCCTAGGACATCCCTTTATGACCCATGACCTTCTGCCCTTCATGCAGACGGAGTGAGAGCATCCTTAGCCAGCCACATAATAGATGTCATGTTTGACTTGTTGCCTATCTTTGTCAGTTAAAATATGTGCGTAGAAGTTCCACTGTTCTCTTTCCACACCTCCACGGAACTTCTTGCACATCCCATTTATTGAGACCACACTGAAAAAGTGCTAATTTAAGACTTAATCAGCATTGGTTTTTTAACAGTGTGAAAATATGACTTTCATTTTGCTTCTGAGTTACGCATCACCGTAATAGATGTTAAAAATGAGATCGTATTATGTCATCTTTGTGTAAGAAGGGAGGGAAAATAAGAAGATATATATATGCTCATTTGAGCAAAAGAAACAAGAAGGAGACCCTGTAGACTAATGAGGCTGATTATCCCTCATAGTCCATGGGGAGACAGGGTACAAGAGATAGAGGGAAAGAAGTCAGAGAACACCACTTCTCTGAATGTACGTTTTGTCTGTTCCTCACTCTTGAAAGCATGTTTCCCATGCTCACCAATGACAACAAACAAAAGAAATAGAAGCAACGCAGATGGGGCAAAAACCCTAAAGTTGAATGCAAATAAAACCAAATTAAGCCATATTTCAAATGAATATCATGATCCCATTGAAGAAAGCAAGGAAACATTAATCCAAGTAACTTTTGACAGACATTTGGACTGAATGCTCTCAGACGAATGGCAAAAGTGCTGCAAATAAGTATTGGACTCTAGTTAGTAGCTTCCTCTTCATAAGGACATGGCTTAATAATTCCTAAATTATTTTCTATACATTTTTGAATTGAGCAAATCAGTGAATGTTCTGTGGATATTGAAAGCCATGTTTCTCACTGTTGGGGAAGAGAGTTACAGCCATGAAAAAGGGAAAAGATTATTGAATGAACTCTAAGATACTGGATTGCAGTATTTGACAACTCATGGGTTTTAATATATTTAGACAGCTGGATAAAGAAATGGATATAAGTATATGTGGGTATACATGATAGGTAGGAAGATAGATAGACAGACATGTATGGGTGTATAAGCACATGTAGAACTATTCCCCAGCTCTGTCTCCTGAGAGCAGAAGCAACATTTCAATAATGTCCAGATCTTGGTTTCCAAAACTCCGAAATTTTGTTACTCACAACCCTTTCGACACCAAATGTCTGGGGTTCTCTCCCCCATTCCTACCTATTATCTAACTCCCTGGGCACCAACGAGGTGTCCTACAATTCAAGTCAAACTAACTGACCAGAGCTTTAGTACAAACCCCATAGGTGAAGGGCTTAGTTAGTCTCACAAGACTGCCTCCACTGCCGATGCAAATTGTGAGCCCTGGCCCTCCTGTACTTCTGACCGATGGCTGTAAATCAGATGTTTCTATGACCCCCTCCTCAGGTGGGATTTGCTAGAATGGCTCACAGAACACAGGAAAGTACCTTATTTACTATGACTCTATTATAAAGGATCCAAATCACAGTCAGGTGAAAAGGTACATAGGATGGGGTCTGGAAGGACCGTGAACATAGGAGCCCAGTCCGTGTGGAGTTCAGGTGCACCAACCTCCCATAACAAGGATGCCTTAGCCATCTGAAGCTCTCTGAACCCCATGGGTTAGGCGTCCTTAAGGAAGCTTAATTACACAGGCAAGATTGATTAAATCATTACCCTTGATGATTGAACTCAACCTCCAGCTACTCCCAATTCCTCAGGGTCAGGCTGAAAATTCCAACCTTCTCACCATGGCCGGGTCTTTCTGGTGACCAGAGTCCATCCTGAAACTACCTCAGAGCCCCCAGCTCCCAGTCACATCATAAGTACACAAAAGACCCTTTTTACATGAGAGATTCCAAGTGTTTTAGAAACTGTGTGCCAGGAACCAGAGACAAAGACCAAATATATATTTCCCATTATATCATAATTGTTAAATATCATTCTTCACTGAAAGAAATCTAGGTTCCTTGAAGAAAGAGCTGGAACAGGAAAAATACAAGATGTGCTCGGAACATCTTATTAAGGCAAAATGCATGTAAATGCTCAAAGAATGATAGGGACATGTTAGAAAGACACAACAGCTATCCTAAAGAGTCTTCCATCAGCCAAATCTGAAACACTTGGAACACCACAGAAGTAACAATAGTAAAACATTATAACCTATTGAATAAAGTAAGAATCCACCAGTTCTCATGGATTAATTAGTTAATTAACTGAAGAGAAGGGGAAGCTCTTAGAGAGGAAAGCCAACTAATACACGTGGAAGGAATGATAGAAAATCACCATCTGGCAGCCTTCCTCATAATAATTGATTCAGGAAAAATTAGCAATGTATTCTAACACTAGAGGATGGAAGCTGAAGGAGTAATGGGACATTTAAATAATTTTGAGGTATCTTTGTACAAAATATTAATTGATTACAAAGCATAAAAGAGTAACTCACAGTGATGAAACCTGGTCACCCCCCTTTACCAAATGATCAAAATTAATATTTCCCAATATTGGGGCTATTTGATAGCATGTGTTCTAAGAGGGTGCCCTGAGGGACTCAGCATCATTTCTGGGGTGTTCTTGCCAAAGTGTTATTAAATTAAATCATGAGGAATTAATTCATGAGGAATTAAATTAAACCATGAGGAATTAAATCATGAGGAAACAGCAGACAAATCCAGACAAAGGAACGTTGTCCAAAATTATTAGCCTGTGCTTATCTAGAATGTCAGTGTCATGAACAAAACATAAAAGAAAACTCAGAAACTCTCCCAGATTGAAGGAGACTACAGACATGATAATGCAATGTATGAGCTTGGATTTCCTTTTTCTGTAATGCACATTATTGAGACAGTTGGTAAAAATGGAATGTCCGTAAATTAGGTTTTGTAACGTGTTGTTAATTTCCTGATTTTGATCGTTGTATGTGGTTACATCATACAAGAAACTGTTTGTTTTTAGAAAATGCACCCAAAATTATTTACAGGTAACAAGGCATGTCTGTATCTTACTCTTACACAGTTCAGAGAAAGACAAAGAGATAAGAGGATAAAGCAAATGTAACAAAACGTTAACATGTGAGACATCTGGGCGGCGGATATATAAGAATTCTTTGTACTATTTTTGCAACTGTGCTGTAAGTCTGAAATTATGTCCGAATAAAAGAAAAATTAAAATGAACTGTAGTGCGACCAGAAGGGAAAAGCAGGGTACTGATCTAAAGGACAAGACGGGGTCTGAAGAAGGTAATTGTGGGCTGCTTCTGCTCAGGTCACACCCTTGACTGCTTTGAAGTTTGCTGAGCTCTCTGTGAAAGCAGGCTTTCCGAAGGGGGTAATCAACATCATTCCAGGCTCAGGTAAGCCATCTAAGGACTCACTTGGTTGCAACTAAGGAATGGTACAGGAGAAGCTGAGTAGCTATTTTCCCACTGGAATCTTGTCCTGACTTATAACTAGTTATAAAAACTTGAAGTTAAGTTATTAAAGCTAAATACAGTTCACCAAAGTTAACTTAAGGATAAATGTATTTGCCATGTGCTAAACTTCTTAAAGTAGAAGTATAATGATGGGTGAGTAGGGTGAGAGGAGCAAAAATTGTACAACATTGTACAACTACCATAATGAGGCCTGTTTCAACTCTTTTAAATTACTCTGGAAGATGAAAAACCAAGACTTACCCATCTTTTGGGGGGCTGATAATTGCACGGAGGACATCATCTAGACTTTTGTCAAGTTTGTAATTAAGAGAGAAAATGCAAAACTCAGAAAGTTTGGAAATCCATTTCAGTGAATTCAAAGCCACTCATACCATAAAGGCTTGTGGAATGTTTTAATTCATGTTTTCTTCCCTAATTCTGCAGGTGGCATAGCAGGGCAACGCCTTTCTGAACATCCTGATATCCGCAAACTTGGTTTCACCGGGTCCACTGCTATCGGCAAACAGATCATGAAGAGGTATTGGTTTTAATGTGTTGATTTGCTGCAGATCCTAGTAACCTCAGTTTTCGTTGTGTTTTTTGCTTTCTTATACAGAGTGTGTTTGGAGGGAGAAAACCCACATCTGATTTAGAAGAGAAATCTACTTATCACTGCTGGGTGTTGAACTATTGTCATATAATAAAATATTTCCAAAGCATAAAGCCCATAATCAGTAAAAACCAGAGCCGTATTGGAATTCTACCCCATTGGTAGCTATGACAATGCAGCACAAAAAAATTTTCTGTACTAAAGCTGTGGCCCAGAGTGGTTTTGCAGCATAAGTAAGAAACCAAGATATAAATGACAAATATGAATTATTTATAAAATGAATTCCTAAAAAGCAGTAACATTCTTTTTTTTTTTTTTAAATTGCTGACACTCTAAATGTCCAAAATAAGGCAGTGGTTAAAGCATGCCAGTGTAGTGGAGTGCTGTGTAATCATGGTCATGGAGAATTTGTAGTAACACTGAAAAATGTTGTTAAAAGGTAAATAGAAAGAAAAATAAGGCACACAATTTTATATATTGGGTGATCCCAACCATGTTGAATAAGGCAAAGGCCATGGTTGGACACAGATCAGAAATAAGCATGTCGAAATGGTAAAAAAAAATAATGGGCATTGAAACATGGATAGAATTTTGTGATTTTTCTTTCTTCTTTCTGAATTTTTGGGGGTATTTTTTAATGTTTTCAGTATCAATGCTTTTGCGAGTAGGGGGAGATAAATAAGATGCTTCTAAAAATTGATATTTTGTTTCCCTAATGCTCCAGGAATCTGGTTAGAGGTTAAATTCCTTGCCAGGCCTTATGTAACCAAAATTGTTACACCTCAAGAATCCGAATTTACCTATGAGGATCTCTATTTATTCATCCACAGAATTAAAAAGAAAAAAAATTTTATTATGGAAAATTTCTAATACATACCAAGCACACAGAATAGTGTCATGAATTCCCATGTGCTCATCACCAAGCTTCAGCAGCTCTCACCATTCTACCCACTCCTGTTTTGTCTTTGAATACGTTTCTTAATATTTCTGAGGTTCAGTTGTGTTTTGCACGCTCAGTGGTAATTTGTAGCTAAAAAGGTGAGACAGAGGATGCTCATTTCCCATTTATTTTTTCTAGCTGTGCTGTGAGCAACTTGAAGAAAGTTTCCCTGGAACTTGGTGGCAAATCCCCACTTATAATATTCAATGACTGTGAGCTTGACAAGGCCGTGAGAATGGTAAGAGGGGGTCAGATCCCGTCAAATAGATGCCTACTGCTAAAACGTGTCTCATCTCCATTTTTATCAGAAATCTCAACATGATGGGGCGCCTGGGTGGCCCAGTGGGTTAAGCCTCTGCCTTCAGCTCAGGTCATGATCTCCGGGTCCTGGGATTGAGCGCCCCCCTCCACATCACATCAGGCTCTCTGCTCACAGCAGGGAGCCCGCTTCCCCCACTATCTCTGCCTGCTACTCTGCTTACTTGTGATCTCTCTCTCTCTGTCAAATAAATAAATAAAATCTTTTAAAAAAAAGAGTTTATACAAAATCTTTTTATAAAAGATAAAAGATTTTATAAGATAAAAAATTCTATAAGATTTAAAAGATAAAAGATTTTATACAAAATCTTTGGATAAAAGATTTTTTTTTTCAAGATTTATTTATTTATTTATTTGTCAGAGAGAGAGGGAGAGAGAGCAAGCACAGGCAGACAGAATGGCAGGCAGAGGCAGAGGGAGAAGCAGGCTCCCTGATGAGCAAGGAGCCCGATGTGGGACTCGATCCCAGGACGCTGGGATCATGACCTGAGCCGAAGGCAGCTGCTTAACCAACTGAGCCACCCAGGCGTCCCTAAAAGATTTTTATACAAAATCTTTTTTAAAAAGATTTTATACAAACAAAACAAAACAAAATCTTTAAAAAAAAGATTTTATTTATTTGATAGAGAGAGAGAGATCACAAATAGTCTGAGAAGCAGGCAGAGGAGGAGGGAGGAAGCAAGCCCCCTGCTGAGCAGGGAGCTTGATGTGGGGCTCCGTCCCGGGACTCTGGGATCATGACCTGAGCCAAAGGCAGAGGCTTAACCCACTGAGCCACCCAGGCACCCATAAATAAAATCTTCAAAAACAAAAAATCTCAACGTGAGATTTGATTTCGTTTGGTCATAAATAGAAACTGTTCTCTTGATGCTTAAATTTGGGACTGCCCAAAGCACTTAATTTTAAAAAGAGTATCTTTACAATTTGGATCATTGAGGTGTTTTTAAAACTTGAGGGGCAGGAGACTCTTTCTAAACATTCATAATTTATACAAACTGATGTCAAGATTTTGAAAGCAAAATTTGGTATACATATATTACATTTAAATGTATAGAACAATGCAGATTTTCTTACAACACAAAATTTGTCCAGGTGGTGTGTCCTTATGATCACCCACATTTTTTTTAAGTGCTCCTGGACCAAAAAGGGTAAAGGAGAAACAAAATTCCTGAAAATATGCTAAGTCAAAACTCTTAAGTGTCTCTAAGCAGTTCTCCTTACTAGCTATAGGCCACGGCATTGCCTCTTTCTATGATTTCTCTGTTTATCTGCTGTCTTCCAAAAACATCTAATTCTCGGGGTGTGCGACATTAATATTTTCTCTTCTGCTGCTGAAGGGCATGGGGGCAGTATTTTTCAACAAAGGAGAGAATTGCATTGCTGCCGGACGGTTGTTTGTGGAAGAATCCATCCACGATGAATTTGTGACGAGAGTGGTAAGACATCTTCACATTGGCTCTAGGAGTTGTACAGAAACTGTTTTTACCTGAAAAGGATTTCTGGCATTATTGATGAATTTCTAGGTGTGATATTAGTACTGTGGCATATAGATATATTTGAAACAACATAGTCCTTACCTTTTAGAGCTACTTTCTGACATAGTTCCAGAAGAAATTATATGATGTCTAGGCTTTGCTTCAAAATAACCCAGGAGGGGAGGAAGTAAGTAAGCGGGGGAGTAAATTGGCCATGAGTGGTAGTTGTTGAGCTGGGTGATAAGTACATTGCATTTCACTATATCATCTACTTTTATATGTATTCATAATTTTTCATAGTAAAAAGGTATAGGTCTCTACAAACAAAACAAAACAAAAAAACCTTAAGAGCTTTAATTACCTATACCTTGCTCTGCATTTTTAGTAAATTTTATCCTTGATGCTTACGGGACATATACTCCTAGATTTTTGTAAATTCCTAAATTGACTAAGAGAGATATACCACTAGATCCTTGCAAATCCTCAGTACATAGTTACTAGGACAGAGTATCATTTCCTCCGCTAACATTATACAGATAAATACATAGATAGATAATATACATAGACACACATCCATACCTACCCCCTATAGATTGGTCATGATTCTATAAACATGAGACCAACAGCCTCATTAACTATTAAGATAAATTCTGTGGCTAATATAAACTAAACTATAATAAACTATGTCATTATTATGGAAACAGTAATTACGAACTTGTTTATGTTCGAAAAACAAGCACCCAGCTTCTTTTTTTCAGTCAGTTCCCCCTCCCAATGCCAAGAAGCAAAGACATTCTTTCTTTGTGAGAATGGAAAACACAGAAGACATACGGAGGGGCAGATGGTGGGTGGTGTCTCCCTCTAGAACATCCCTCTAATTCAGTTTTGTGCTTCAATAAAATACATGTTACAGGGCTCTCACGACTTCAGTGTGTGGACATTTCAAATGCTGAGACCTAAAGTGTCAAGAGCCGACCTCATCAGTCCATCAGTAAACATGTTTTGCACACGTGCAATTGGCATTCATTCATTCATTCATTCATTCAGCAGCTCTGTCTTGAGCATTTACTGGGGGAATTCTTGCCCTACCCAAATTCAAATTCATGGCCCTGCTGGGTTGTGGTAACTCTCATTCTTTCTTCTTATTAGAGTTGGACTTAACATTAGAAAATGCACAGGTAGATTAAGATAAGTGGGGGGCACAGGGACAACCACAGAGAGATGTCAGGGATGAACCCTGCACAATAAAGATCGAAACATTCTAGCAGTCCCACTGGCGGAGGTTATGCCATGAACATTTCACAAGAGCAGGTTGCTGCATCTGGGGAGAGAAAAGAAGATAACCATGTGGCCATTTTAGTGATTCTTCTGCCCTGAAGAGTACAAGGGTGCTATATTAACAAATCTTCCAGAACCTCAGGTTTGCAATTTTAATGGATTAACACTCAGGATAATTTGAATGTAACATCCATACGCTACAGTCTGTTAGAACTGAGTGGTTAACAGCGTGGGCTTTCAAGTCAGGAAGACTCTACTGTCTTTCGTGGTTGTGTGTGTTAAGTCAGTGAACCTGTCTAAGCCTCAGTTTCTCCACCTGTAAGATGGAAATAATAAATACCCGCCTCCAGTGCTTCTGTGAAGACTAAAAGACAACACATCCTTTGACAGCTTAGTATGACACCCACCACATGGTAGAAGCTAGCCAAGGGTATCTATTACTATTATTAACGGACAGTTGTGTTTTGTGAACTGGGTGACAAACAGGTGGAAGAAATTAAAAAGATGAAAATTGGCGATCCACTTGACAGATCTACCGATCATGGGCCCCAAAACCATCAGGCCCATCTGGAGAAACTTCTGCAATACTGTGAAGCTGGCGTGAAAGAGGGGGCCACCTTGGTGTACGGGGGAAGACAAGTACACAGGCCAGGTAAGAACACCTCCAAGCCAGGCACTGGCTTCTGAAGCTGGAATGGATGGTAACGGTTTTCACTGCAGCTCCATCTTGCCTCAAAAGACTAGCATTTGTGTTATGATCACAATAATTCTTTTTTGGATACTACTTATATACCGGGTACCTTGAACTTGACAATTTTTCTGAGCCTCAGTTTCCTCCTGTGTAACAAGAGGTGAGATGTGCACACCTGCTTTACAAGGCTGTGGAAATCAAATCACAAAATGGACATGACAGACCCTTGGCGGTCCAGTAAGCAGGTGTGATGGACAACTGTGTCATTCTGGTGCTGGTGACCTTGGCTCCTGGAACTGTGAGATTTAATCTCAGCCAGGATAGCCTGGGAAGGATTTATGCCTATTGTCTAAAGCCATACCTGTTACTGAAATATGTGAATGGCTCCATGTCATGATACCCCAGAGGAGAGAAAGACAACAACTTCAAAACCCCATTCTTCACTTTTGTAGGGGAATTGTGCTGCAGCACCTTACTCTGAAAATTGATAATTAGAAGGGGAAACTTTAACATGTACCTGTGTTTCTTGTATGAACTGAATTTCTGGGTAAGCTGCATAGCTGATAAAGGAAACTGCTTTTTAACGGAAGAATTCCTGCTAATTAATGTAGAAAAAAATGATGGAATAGAAAAATCATCACTCTGTACTCCTAATTGAATGAAATGGTTGGTTCAGGCAGTTATCATCAAGGGAGGGCCGCAGGGATCAGGAGAGAGGTTGATGGGGACCTGAGAATGTACAAGGTACCAAAGTTCCTCCGCCAAGATCGCTTGCCGGTCTTAAGGAGGAAAACACAGTTTTACAAGGGAGAGGTGAAGTTGTCGTCACCTGGAACCACACTGGTCAGTTGGAGCAAGAGCAAAAGCAGGACAGCTGGGTATGACGTGTCTCCAGAGGGAGACAGCGTGTACCACGCAGCATCACCCCTGCAAGTGTTCTCGCCAAAAATGTTTAACCTGAATCCAATTGTGTCTTAAGGTCGAACTTCCCAATTACGAGACATAAAGGGACTAGAGGAACATATTGAATGTCATCCCAAGAAAACAAACACAAAACTAAACGCAACATATTCTGTAGGACGACTGACTCGTTCTGTTAAAAAGCGGCATGAAAAATGAGGGGTGAAATGTTCTAGATGAGAGAACACTTAAGAGATCTAACAGGTGGATGCAATGTGTAGAATTTATTGGAAGCCTGAATCAACCAAATCCATTGAGAAAAGATACTTTCGAGAAAAAAGTGGAAATATAAAGCATGAAGAAGGAATTAGCACTTATTTTGTTAGATGTGATAACGTTGTGGTAGGCAAGAAAATGCCTTATTTTTTTACAGATTTGTCCTGAAGTACATGAAGGTGAAAGTTATAAACTCTGGAATTGGCTTTCAATTATTTCAGCAAGGAAAAAGAATGAATCAAATGTAGCAAAATATGAGTAGATATTTATCGTACAATTCATGATACTACTTTCTCTATATTGACATGTGTTTGAAATTTTTGTAATAAATAGCTAAAAAAAACCCCAAGAACCTAGGAATGCTAATACCAGATAGGAAAAGGAAAGTCTGCTTGGTTTTATGGACCCAAAAGGGAAGGAAAAAAATTACAAAGTAATTAAATGAGAGAACTATTAATTAAAAATTAATTACCCTATAATTGATGATCTTTTCTATTCTTCAAATAGGTTTTTTTATGGAACCAACTGTTTTCACAGATGTGGAAGACCACATGTATCTTGCCAAAGAGGAATCATTTGGGCCTATTATGGTCATTTCTAAATTCCAGAATGGGTATGTTCTTCAGGCACAATTTAACAGTTTTAAACTAGATAAGTGTTTTTTTCTTCTGTCATTGTCCTATATACAGATCATGAAATCAATGAACATGTAATGCTCAATTATATAACAATAATTGACTCAAATAATTAGAAGAGAAGGCTAACCAATGTAAATTGTTATATATTCTTGCTTCTTAGCTGAAATTAATAGCTGACAGTATGGAATTTTAACTGACTAAATTTAGTTTTTGTATAACCAATACTTGAATTGTCTCTCAAATAAGATAAATAACTAAGAAAAACAGAACTAGTTTTTACATTTACATTCCTAGGGAAGGCAACTTCTGTGAAATGTGGTTTTCCCAAGGAAAGAGTGTTGCCTTCATAGGGATTATGCCCCCAAGACCTAAAACTCAACTTTTTATTAAATGTCCACAATCACCATTATAATCAACTATCAGTGATGGTCCGTTATAGTGCAGGAAACTTTCCAAAGTGTTTAGCATGTCAGAGAGAGGCATATGGTACCTGATCTCATATAAGAATATTTAGTACAATAGACATGGTATGCTGGGCAAAATTCCTCAGAATTCTGGCTTGAATTTTCCTTCAACCAATGAGAAGGTAGAAAAAAACAGAACTCAGAGTTCAGAGGACTTCTTCGTCTTGATAGGCATATTGTAAGACATATTTGGGGACACTAAGCTATAGTGAGCAACCTTTTGACACACTGATCCTGTTGGGTCCCCAGTGTTGGGTTCCCCAATAATGGGTCCGTGATTAAAGGAGCGAGACTGATACAAAGTGAAGGTCAAGCAAAGCTTTATTTCGCACCAAGCATCAAGAATCAAACCGATCGTCAAACGGACTGGCTGGGGCCGCCCCTTACAGAGAGGGCGACCTCTCTCTCCCTCACAGAGCAAAGGCCATGTGGTTGGGCCTGGCCACGCACAGGTGGCCGATGAAATTGTAACACACAGAGTAAGCTGCACAGTCATGTTAGGTCACCCATAAGTGACCAATTGAATTACAATTTACCCTAGTAGATATTTGAACCAGCCTATCACCTTGGTCAGAATTGGCACCCAAAAGGTGCCCAAAGGGCGGGGCCCATACACCTTGGTAACTAGGGAGACAGTATCCCCCCCACCCCCCACTGATCGGTTGTCTCCACTTGGCCTGACCCACCCTTGTATTTGGGCTTTGTTACCTGGGACTGGTTTCCAGGACTTGTTTTTTTTTTTTTTTTTTTCCAGGACTTGTTTTTAAGTAAGTTCCCCTGGAGGGGCGGGCAGAGTCAATTTAAGTTTTACTGCATAAACAACAAAATGGCAGTTCAACCGTGGTGGGGCCGCTCTGGCTGAATAGGCCCTTACAATCCAGGGATGCCTCATTAATCTTCTTTTCCCCAAAAGTCTCCCCATAGGAAAGTCTTTGTGTTAAACATGCAGATTTTAGAAGGCATATTTGGGGGATATCAACTGAGATAACTTTGAGGAATTTACCAGCTAATGGGGGAGACAGACAAGGAGATGGGTAATTAACCACAGAGGGCTAGAGGCAGCCACAGTGGGTGGAGTCTGCCCAGCACTTGCCACTGCACCTGACTACCTCTGTGGGCCAACCTGACCCTTGGTTTCTTTATTTGAGAAGTTTGGTGATTAATAGCATCTATCCTTTGGTGTCATTCTAAGAATTACATAAGTTATGTCTGTTAATAGTGCTATTGCCATTGTTATGCTCATTATTCTCCTCCATCTCCTAGAAGTAGGCAAGGTGTCCTGGAAAGCTGTGTCATCTCAATAGTCCCCAACAAGTAATGACATGAAAGCATCTTTCCTGTAGTCAATAAATATTTGGGTGCCTATCAGGTGCAATGCATCAAGAAGCGTGAGAGTTTTAGCAGAGCCTCAATTCACTCTAGGTTCAGTTCCAAATTTCTTGTACGAGCTTCCAATTATGTATAGTCTACTTGGAAAATCCCTTCAGAGGCCGCCACATTGAAGCCTGCACTGTCTGTCTCTCGGATTAATTTTTCCTCCCATCTGGGGATGGATCCTCTTTCTTTGCCAGATGAAACACTTGGCTTGCGTTCACCAGCCATGCTGTAGAACATTCGTGCAGTTTTAAACATTAGAATGACACTCATAAAGATGAGATACTCATACCATGACAGACACGTTGGAACCAGACCCAACCGAGAGATGAACGGGGTCACGTTTCCACTTACTAACAAGTGCACACATACGGAGTCAAAAGGCAGGGAAATCATGATTGAAGGGATAATTTGTATTTCCTTTTATTGAATTGTATCAACTGAATTCACTCTCACAGGATGATCTAACGCCATGGTATAAAGAAGAAGAGATCACCGCTGTCCTCAGGGCCCTACCACAAATACAGAGTTAAAGTAAAATACTGATTATGGTTGACTTTTATTGAGCATTATACTGTGTTCCAGGCACTATTAGTTCATTTAATCCTCATGACAACAAGAAAGGTCCTTTTCTTATTACTGCTATGTTTTGCAATAAACACAGTCATGTGGAGGTGAAGCTGTTTGCCCGTCACCCAGGCAGCCTGGCTGCAGAACCCTCTCATTGAGCCACTATATCCTACTGCCTCCCCCATGGCACTGGTGGGAGCTGAGAAGGCTTCAGGGCAAGGGACTGAATGAATGGGCCTGGAACTGTGTGCAAAATCTGGGCGGACGGAGGGGGAAGGGGGGTGCTCTGAGAATACATCTAGAAGTGGGACTCAAGGCAGAGGGGGAGGAGGTGAGAAGTCATAAAGGAGAACCAAGAAGAAAATGGAAAAGATGACTTCAGATCAGATTTTAAAAGGTGTTGCATGATATACATGAAAAATATAATACTGAGCTATAGGGGCTCATTGGGAGTTTCTTTTGGTGTAAGACTGGAATATTTCACTCATAAATATTTAAGCGAGTTAGCAGTAGCATTTTACTCTTTCTAGCATTCCGGGGGGAGATGTTAGAACATAAAATGCAAGTGACTTGTTTGCATTCAGTGAAGTTTTGAAAATATCTTGTAGGGACATCGATGGAGTGTTGCAGCGAGCGAACAATACAGAGTACGGTCTGGCCTCCGGGGTTTTTACAAGAGACATAAGTAAAGCCTTGTATGTGAGCGAAAAACTAGAAGCGGGAACTGTTTTTGTTAACACGTACAACAAGACGGATGTAGCAGCCCCTTTCGGGGGAGTGAAACAGTCTGGCTTTGGGAAAGACTTAGGTATGCTCTGCTTTTCTCCTCCATGTTCCCTTTGTTTGCCTGTCACAGAGCAGTCTGTTTGATGTTTCCTGCAAAACTCTTGTCTTGTTTTGAAGGACATATCCTGAACGGGAGTTGGATCTGAGTTTATATGGGTACTAACTGTGTCCTAATGTCAAACATTTTTAGGTAATGTACATACAGAAAAGTACCCAAATTGCGTGGAAAAGTGTTTTTCAAAGAACAAGGTTAATGCTGAAAGGAAAAAGAAACACTGGCAATATGTCTTAGCTAAAGTATGCTCGGTTTTCTTACCTGACATTCAGCATGCCCTTCGTTTAGCTCTTGTGGGACTAAGTGAAACCAACAAAGGGAATTCAGTGGAGGGCAATACGCAGCTATTTCCAAGGAGAAATCCTGTTATAAGCTGCCTGGCAGTCTTTCAGAATCAATACTACAATTGGCAAGGGTATGTGGAAGTCTGGGATTTAGAGTTGCAGAAAATCCAAAAGATAATTCTTTGTAGGCAATGACCCCATCACATTTCAAGTAACAACTTACTTTGAACACTAAGTATGGACTAGATCTTCTGCTAACTGCTTTACCTGTAATAGCACAAGCAATCCTCACAATAGCCCTGGGAAGGGAAGTGCTATTATTATCCTTATTTAATAAATGGGGAAACTGGGGCTCAGAGAGGTTGAGTAACTCGCCCAAAGTTACACAGCTGGCCACTGTTTGGAAAGAGAATTCCAAGCCAGGCAGACTGGCCACCAAGCCCATGTTCCGACTCTGCACAGTCTGGAGTGTTGTTTCAAAAATGGAAATGTTTGTAATTTACTGATTAGTCCGCTAATATAAGTTTGGTTAATATGGGGTATTTTTACATTTTCTCTTTCCTGGTGACTTATGGTAATATATTTGCCACAATAAAAGTAGCTCTCATTTTAAATTCCATTGAGTTGAAGGTAAATGGTGTTTATTATAAAATAACAGAATTTACCCAAATAGTTTCTTTCTTTCCCAATTTTAAACTCCCTAAGCCCAGGGGGTCCCCAGCCTTAGCCACACATTGGAGTCACCTGGGAACTTAAAAAATACAAAGATACTGATTCAGTTGGTCCAGGGTGTGACCTGGGATTGGGAGTTTTAAAAGCTTCCCAAGGCAATCCTTCATTAAGGTTAAGAACCCTTGTTTTAGCTCAACTTCCAAGATCATATGTTCATTACTTGTCTCTGTGCTATTTGTGCCCTTTCAATGCCATAGAAATCAATGATTTTTTTTAAAGATTTTATTTATTTACTTGACAGAGAGAGTGAGAGAGCAGGAACACAAGCAGGGGGAGTGAGAGAGGGAGAAGAAGGCTTCCCACCAGGCAAGGAGCCCTATGTGGGGCTCAATCCCAGAACACTGGGATCATGACCTGAACAGACTCTTAAGCTCACACAAATCATTGGTTTCTGGGGGCTCGAAGTAGAATTGAAACAGAAAGGCAAACCTACTGATTTTCTAGCCTGGCTATACTCTATACTATATAAATCAGGAAAACTGTTTTATCTTTAAATAACATTACACCAAAGGATCTCAAACTTTCTTTCTTCTGCTCAGTTCTGCTCCATTTAACATAATCTGAAGGACAGTGTGTTGGTCACTTCCATTCAGCCTAAATGGGGAAAGGATAGAGATGAGGAGTTGGTCATCAGGCAGGGAAATAAGGGAGCATGTTTTCTGGTGGGGACTGACCAAGTCAGCACTGTTCCTCCGAAGACCTGATCAATAGTCTAAGGCCTTACTTACTCCTCGGAGTGTGGTCCATGGACCACGAGCACCGCATCATCGGGGGGATGGGCACAAATGCAGAATCTTGGGGACTTCGCTGGATTTAATCAGAATCTGCTGCTTCACAAGGTGACTCACATGAACTTTACAGTTTGGGAAGCCCTGGCTTCAGCCACATTCTAGTTGCTTAGTGACCGACGCACCTACATCTGTGTCCGAAGTCTGGTGACATCACACCCCCTTGCCCATGACCTGCTTTTCTCTTCCCCAGGGGAGGAAGCTCTAAACGAATACCTCAAAACCAAGACAGTGACGCTGGAGTACTAGAGCGGAGCCATCGCCAGGAGCCCTTAGCGGACCACAGCCCCTCCTGACCCCTCCACGCGCTTTGGGAGCCCATGTGTGCTGAGGGAAGAGGTACCGGCCACGAGCGGAAACACGCACCCGAGGACCATAAAGAGGGTCCAGGCCACACGTCCAAGCATTTACACCTGTGCCTGAATATTTTTCTGATACACCTTTTATACCTGAAACCAATTTGTCGTTGTTGGGGTTTGACTCTGTTGTCTGTCCCACGTGTTTCTAAACTGCCAGGTGGCTTTTCCTCCCCACCCAGACTCATCTAACCATTGTTGTTCATCTTGGAAAATGTCAGTATCAGGCAGTTTTAACGCACAAGGTGCATTTGGGGGAAACTTTGCATGATACATGCAGGTTTTAACCTCTGAACTATACCTATGGGGCTATTAAAAAGATTTTCCATAATTTTGCTCTCAAGAAACAGTATATCCTGCAAAGGATGTGAAGTCAATTCCTTTTTTTTTTTTTTCATATTTGGAAATAAGATACATCTTTGTGCCTTTTGATGTTCTATTTTTCAACCCAGTGTGACAGACAACCAACCCCAAATGGTGCTTCAGTACTTACTAGGTATGGGCACTCTGTAATGTTCTGAGGAGTAGACAGAATTTAATGACATCATCTCTGGCCCCACATAGCTTAAATTCTAATAAATAGCTTTTTAAAAGTTAATTTTACAGTATGATATAGAGTGTAAATAGCCTTTGGAGGCTATTGTTTGGAGGTCTTGGTTCATGTCTGCCATGTGACTTGGGGAAGCTTTCTTAACTACTCCCAGCCTCAGTTTCCTTATCTGTCAAATAGGGATAATAATGCCTTCCTCTGGAGCTTTATTTTGAACAGTCAACACATAGTATAAGTAACTTGGATTGTGCTATGTTCATGGTACTCGAGAAAAAAATTAACTTTGTTTCCCCATCACTATTTTAAAAATATATTGAGATAAACTAAACTAGATGACCTAATTTCCCTACAGTCCTTTTCAGGAGTCATTGATTTCTATACTTCGTTGTTCTGACACGGTGCTTAGTGCAGCAGCACTGGAAAATGCCATATAATGAAAAATGGCAATGGTACGAGGAAATCACTGCTTTTCTTTCCACAGCTCATTTGTTCTTCATTAAACATCTCGTTTTCCACTTTTCTACCTACCGGATCTGCTGTGTGACCACTGGTTGGGTGATCTTGGGCAAGTTAGTTACCTACTATCTCAGAGCCTTAGTATCTATAAATGGGGATAAAGTCCCTGTCTCATTAGGTGTTGGAAGGATTCAGTGGGTTCAGCTGTGTAGATCATAGTCCACACCCAAGGAATGGGAATTAGTACAGTCCATGCAGGACTCACAAAATTGGCTGTTGTCAGACAAAAACAGTTAGGTGAGTAAATTACCACCATCCACATGTGGTGAGAAGGTGAGTTCCTGAATGCCAGGGACATTGGAGGATGGTCTGAGCCATGAACTTCTATTATTCCTCTTTTAAAGTAAAATTTCATGGGGCGTCTGGGTGGCTCAGTGTGTTAAGCCTCTGCCTTCAGCTCAGGTCATGATCTCAGGGTGCTGGGATCGAGCCCCGCATCGGGCTCTCTGCTCAGCAGAGAGCTTCCCCCCTCTCTCTGCCTGCCTCTCTGCCTACTTGTGATCTCTCTCTCTCTCTCTGTCAAATAAATAAATAAGATCTTAAAAAAAAAAAAAGTAAAATTCAGTAAACATTCCTATCTCTGACATTGAAGAAGCCCTTAGGGAACACTTGGTACTTTGGCTCAAGGCTCAAGCAGCTTATCATAAAGGGAAAGTGGGGAATTAACAAACAATAACCAAATCAGAGGCAGAAAACATCCAAAGGGAAGAATACCAGGTGTGATCCTGGCATGATCAATAGAGCATATTTTCCCTGTGAGCATTTTTTAGGAGATAGGCACAGATGAAATTCTAAATTGGAATGAGTATTCGGAGTCCAAATTGACGGTCCATATATGAATTAAATGACAAAGGCCTTATTATAAAGGAACCACTTTTAAATGCAGCATTTTAACTGATTTCATGTGAACTAAAATATCACTTTATGAAATGTATTTTTTTTAAGATTTCATTTCTTCACTTGACAGAGAGAGAAAGCGCACAAGCAGGGGGAAAGGCAGAAAGAGAGGAAGAAGCAGGCTCCCTGCCGTCCTGATGTGGGGCTTGATCCCAGGACCTTGAGATCATGACCCGAGCTGAAGGCAGACGCTTAACCAACGGAGCCACCCAGGTGCCCCCAAATATTTTAATGATGGATAAAATGGCAAACAAAACCATGTCCATTTCTTCTGGACTAATTTTACCCCCTACTATGTATCTCAGTAGCAGTGTTTTTCATTTTCTTTGACCATACACCTCTTTGAGAATCTGCTAAAAGCTGTGGAGCCCCTCCGTGCCGTTTCTACCCGAATTCCCACACACATACCTAATTCTGCAAGTGTCTTCAAGGGATTTGCAGATCTCCTAAAGCCGATGCTTGGAGATGAACAACCCCTTCTGTTGGGTCCATGGTCAAAGGAACGAGACTGATACAAAGCGAAGGTCAAGCAAAGCTTTATTTCACACCAAGCATCAAGAATCAAACTGACTGGCCAGCGCCATCTCTTGCAAAGAGGCGACCCCTCCCAGCCTCACAGACTAATCTTTATAAAGTAAAGGTCATGTGGTTGAGCCTGGCCATACACAGGTGGCTGACTGAATTACAGTTCACCCCATAGTAGCTATTCGAACTAGCCTATCACTCTGGTCAGAATTGGCGCCCAAAAGGCAGGGCCCACATTCTTGGGTGGTTAGGGAGGTGCTTTCCTGATTGGATGTCTCCACCTGGCTTGACTCATCCTCGTATTCTGGGCTCTGTTACCTCCCCCTGACCTGACACATCCTGGTATATGGGCTCTGTTATCAGGGGCTGGTCAGTCATATTTTACTGGTTTCCCAGACTTGTTTCTAAGTAAGTTCCTTTGGGGGGGGGGGCACAGTCAATCCAAGTTTACTGCATAAACAACAAAATGGCTCGCTCTGGCTAGGTAGGCCCTTACACTTCTTCCATAGTAAGATCTAAAATTCCTACTGGCTTGAGTCTTTGTATCTGAGTGCTGATCCGAATCCAAGGCTCCACGGAATTCACAAAATGACCAGTGAATTTGAAGTGGAACATAATGACCCACAGCCTACCAGGTGATTTAATTAACACCGGGAATAATTAGGTGATCACTTTTCCGGCTGGCTGGCTGGCTCAGGTGGTGGAGCATGCAACTCTTGATCTTGGGGTCCTGAGTTCGAGCCCCATGTTGGATGTAGAGAATACTTAAGAAAAAAAAATTTTTAAAAGATTATCACTGTGCTTTCAGATCCCAGATGATTTGGCTAAAGAATAAAGCTGTGATCTGACTGTCCCCTGCATGGGGAGGTGTGGGCACTCCCAAGTGGTTCTAAGGCTCTTCTAATCCTCTTCTGCTTGCCTTCTCCTAAAGCAGTCACCTTTGGCTCACATACCCTTTGTGGCTTCCTACCTCCAGCTCGGTTTGAGGGTCTCCCTTCCATGCTCTCATTGTCGGGAACAGTGTTTACCATTTGGTGCTGAACTTATCTGCCTTCCTAACCAGGTAGGAACACCTCTTCTCCACCTCCAGGATCAGCCTTTTTTTGGACAATAGTAACCACAGCTGTCATGTACTGAGGGCCTCCTGTGTGCTAGATACTCTACTAAGCACTTTGTAAATGTCTACACGTCCGAGAAAAATGAGTAAGTTCTGGGGTTCTTCTTACTAGCTCCCCGGCTATGGAGCCAACCTTATAACTGATCCCAGTTACGCCCGGGTCTCCCAGCCTGTCTTCCTGGTTCCTCCCTGTGTGGATCTATTCAAAGTTTGAGTCAGATGCTGTCACTCCTTTGGCTCAAACCTTCCAATGGCCCCCAATCAGATTAAAGTCTAGTGTACTTACTGGGGTCTATAAAGTCCTATTGATCTTGCTCCTAGCTACCTCTGACTCTATCTCCTATGAATTTCCCTCTTGTTCTGCCTAGCCTTCCTAGATGTTCCTCAGCCAAGCAAACTCTTACCTGAGGGCCTTTGCATTTACTGTTCCTCTTCTCAGTGGTGTGCTGGTAAATATCTACTAAATGGTTCTCTGGCGGAAACAATTCTTGGAGCAGTTGCTCACTTCTATGTATAAATGCCCCCATCAGGGCTGACTGTGAACTGTAGAGATGAGTGCAATCAGAACACGAGTAAGTCAGTGTCAGCACACCTTTGCCTGCAACTCTATTCCTACATACAACCTCCTGGTTGGCTGCCTCACTCCCTTCATGTCTCGCCTCCAGTCTCATCTCGGAAGAGACGGATTTTCTAGTCCCCACATTCATACCTCATCTGCCCTATTATTCTTATCCTGCATTATTTTCATAGCATTTATCACAATCTGGCATATTTATTTATTGTCAGCCTCTCCCCATCAGAATATACAGGTGCTTCTTTTGTTCAGTGCTGCATCTGCAATGCCTAATATGTATAAGGAGCTCAAGAAATACTTGCTTTCAAACAAAGAGGTTAAGCAACCTGCCCAAATCATACATCTGTTAAGTGGCATAAGAGGCACCCTTGGCAGAGAAGCTGGTGATCTTAACCAACCTGGTGGCCTTTTACTGCCGGTGCCTAACTCAGGGCCTGCGTGGTGAGCAGCAGGACACACTGAACATCTGTCATTGTCTTCAGAAGCTGTTGTGCAAATGGCTAGAGACAGGGTGAGAAGCCGAACTCGTTCCCCCGTACCTGCCCTCCAGGAAAGTAAGACTGTAGAGAGGAACTGGGCCGAAGGAGATTCTCAGATATGAGACTTGGTGGATGGGGTGATTATCACCGTGGTTACACAAATAATACCTAAGTGGATTTTTAAAATGGTTCAATAAGACCTAATTATGTGAAAACACATAAAACCGGAAGGTAAGATTCAGCTATAAACTCTCCACACAGAAAGAACCAGACATTTGAGACTGTTCCAGACTTTTCCTATGAATGTGTATTTTACAGAATTACTAGAATACTGTACATTAACTTTGTTACCTTTTTGCAATTAACAATATACAAGCATCTTTCTGTGTCAATAAACATAAACATTCTTCATATGTTCAGTGGCTAACTTGTTCTCTGTTGGTGTGCGTTTACACACATGCCGGACATAGTTGGTTTCTGCTATTTTAAACTTGGCAATAAATCTTATATAGAAATCTGTGGACAGAGCTGTTAACTAGGAGAAATTCCTAGAACCTACAATCAGTAAGTTTCCCCCCAAATTCTTGCCATCCCGGCGCATTATTCCTGTAGCATCATGATACCTCACATTTACTGAGCACTGTTCTAAACACGTGCTGTGTTTCAACTCATCCGTTTCTTACCAAAACCCCATGAGGGAGATGGTTACCCCCATTTTGCAGGTGGGGAAACGGAGATAAACAGCCAGGCCGGGGTCTGGTCCAGACAGCTTTGGGGTCCGGGCTGCTGGCAGAGCAACTGGTGGGCCCACAGTGGCTGGCTGTGACCGGCTGGGCGACACCTGGTTCCACCACTTACCTGTTGTGAGGCCTTAGGAAAGGTACTTAGCAGCCACAGGCCACTTTTCTCATCTGTGAAGTGGATCTAAGCAGAATTTTCTCGGAAGGTGGTGGGTTTTTATTTCGTTGTTGTTTTTTAAAACAATTGGGACACTTACTCTGTCACAGAACAGTCCAGTGATTCCATCTGCTTCTTTATGCAGTGACTTCATGGTGCCCCCTGCTTTGCTTTGCTGTCCCTGGGGCACAAACTCAAGAGTTGGCTCCATTTACAACCACTAGACAGGACTCCCGGGAATCCTATCCAGTCATGAAATAGGAACCACCTCTTCTGTGCCTCCTTTCTAGAAATGAAGAATCCTTTCCTTTCCCAGAGTCTACGAATGAGTCTTTGCTTACCTCACTGGGAAAACTGGTGTCACGTGCTCATTCCCACTCCAGTCACTGGCAGGTTTCCCGTGACCAGGTGGTGGGGAGTCAACCACAAAGATCCCAGCATTCAACTCTTTGGAAGTCTACTAATCATAATTACCCCATCTTATTTCTTCAGGATCGAGAATCACTGACATTTAAAATGAATTACTTCGGGGCGCCTGGGTGGCTCAGTGTGTTAAGGCCTCTACCTTCCGCTCGGGTCATGATCCCAGGGTCCTGGGATCGAGCCCCGTATCAGGCTCTCTGCTTGGGGGGGAGCCTGCTTCCCCCCTCTCTCTCTGCCTGCCTCTCTGCCTACTTGTGATCTCTGTCAAATAAATAAATAGATAAAAATCTTAATAATAATGAAATAAAATGAATTACTTTACTGATTAAAAAAAGAGTAGCGTAATGAACATTTATTGTACATTTCAACCAAGGGAAAGGCCCTCTTCTAGGCACCTTGGGAAATACAAGTGAAAATAAGCTCAGCCTCTCCCCTTGCCTTTCCTATCAGACTAGGGGATACAGATACAATAATACAAGCTACTTTGTAAGGCAGAGATTTTTTTTTTCATAATTACCGTATTTAATGCACAATTAAAATGTTATGGGAATGGACAAGAGATTCATTCAGAATGAAATTTTTGCTTCAAACACCATTACACCAGATTTTCGGATTTATAACTCTCACAGAGCCTCAGAAGGATGGGACCCCCACGAGCATGGTACCCCTCATCAACCTTAGCAGGAACAGAACTGCTGTCCAAGGGGCTGCCCCATTTCACACCCCAGCACCAGGCAGAGAAAGCACGGGTCAGACTAACCAAAGCACAATGGTGATTTACTTTCCAGCAGCCTGAAGGGCCAAATGCTGACAAACAAAACATCTAATAAAGGTGCGATGGCAAAGTGCACAAATGTTAAATGTGCAACTCAATATATTTTTATGTACTACTGAGTGGTGGTGACTCAAAATGTTAGACACGGACATAATGGGTGACACAGGAAGGGCTTGGCAAGTACCGGCCATGCTTTCATCTGCCAATCTGCTAATTCAAGAATACGATCTTACTTTCATCTGCACTTTTTTTTTTTTATACGTGGGGTTAAACTTTTATTTTTTTCTGTGAATTCTTTGTCTTACAGCCTTTTCATTATTAAGATATTAGTCCTTTTTGTAATCTGTAAGAGCCCTTCATATATTGATACTCAATCTTATGTTGCAAATATTTTTCCCAGTTTGTCCCTTGCCTTTAAAATTTCTTTGCTATGCACTTAGTTTTGAATATTTATACAGATGAGTTTTCTGCTCTTTTCCTTTGTGATTTCAGACTTTGCCATTCTGGTTTAAAAAATTTAAAAAAAACAAAACAAAAACCTTTTTGACTCCTACTTCCTGAAAAAAGAAAAAAAAACTTTTCCCCAATTTCACTATTAAACATTCACCCATATTTTAATATGAAACTCTTATGATTTATATTTAAGTCTTTAATCCACACATAATTTATGTTAGCACATGGTATGAGGCTAAGATCTAATCTTGCTTGAAATAGCCAGTTCTGACATTGTAGACTGAATAATTCATCCATTTTACACTTAAAATGACATTCTTATCATAAATTGTTTTCATGTTTTTCTTTTTTCTACTGTCCTAAGAATGTCCAAAGGACCTGAATTTAGTTGACTTCCTTTACTCTACAGGGAGGCTCACTGTAGCACACGAGCTAGCCACAGCAGAAGGAAACTATTAAAATTCTACACGCTAGTATATACTTCTAGACTGACTGGTCTCTCACTGATCATTCAGATTATTTCCACCAGGATGTGTATTTCCTGTGAAGTTACACCTTCATACCCCCCGCCTGGAGCAGCCTACCATGGCTTGAAATTTCCTATTTACCCTCATTATATCCATTAAGTCGTTTAATAACATTATCCGGTGCCTACTCAATACCATCCACCATGCTAAGTCATGAACCAGACGAATGCAACTCTTCCCCCAGTGTAGCAGAAGATATGAGCTAGTAGGAGGGATCTTTAACTATTTACACCAATTCATCCCAGCTATGTTCGGTGCTACTAAATATAGCACAATAACCTTTCTAACTGAGGAGTCTCATTTCTAGCTCTGTTCATTTCTTCGTATGTTTAGTGAGGCACAGCCCAGAAGAGCAGATTCCAATTTCCAATGGGAAATACCAGAAAGAAACTTGAGAATTATCTTCAGAGTATTTACAAGATGTCTTGAGCTAACGAGAGGAGTGGGGGGAAAAGGGTTAAAAGAGAGCCCCCAGCTCAACCCATTTGGAGGTGATCTTTTAAATTCTCAGGCCTATATCTTGAGCAAAGCCAGTCCCTTGGCAGATGAGATCTGAAACAAATTTAATAAGGTCAAGAATGAGGCAAACAGATGACTCCAGCAGAGGATCATTTTGACCCTTGAAAGGGAAAAAGAGTGGTTATAACTCGTTTTGTACCACACCCTATTTTTTCTGTGAGGTCCCTTATTTTCTACATTTGATAGGTTTCAAACTGTGGGCAACTATGTACAATAGTTTTAATGGCTGAAACAAAAAATCTGCCTTATGAAAGAAAAGGAAAAACAAAAACAAAAACCCATGAATTTCTCCAACCCGTGATTTCTATATGCAGAGCGGCTGGCTGCAGAGTCCCCAGAGCTGATGAAACCGCAGAGTGCCAGATTTCCAGCTCAAACTGGAAAGGACTTTCTTCCTCTTCTTTTAATGAAAGTAGCAACGCCCGAGGGCAGCTGAATATAAGTTATTCTTTCCTTTGTAAAAAATTTCTCTTAAAAAAATTCTCCCCCATTGAACCTACTGTGATGTTAACAAATGTGACTTTCTAATGACCTAAAAAAAAAAAAAAAACAACAACCCCAGATTGTTTTATTCGAGAGAATAAATTTAAAACAAACAGATGATTTGTATTTTTACTTTAAAATAAGTGTGCTATTTCTGGGGCACCTGGGTGGCTCAGTGGGTTGAAGCCTCTGCCTTCAGCTCAGGTTATGATCCCAGTGTTCTGGGATCGAGCCCCACATCAGGCTCTCTGCTCGGCGGGGAGCCTGCTTCCTCCTCTCTCTGCCTGCCTCTCTGCCTACTTGTGATCTCTGTCTGTCCAATAAATAAATAAAATCTTTAAACAAATAAAATAAGTGTGCTATGACTAAAGTCTATGCGTAAGAAGATGCCAACAAATTCACTCGTTACCATACATAAACTTAAGCTTTCTAAGTGAAATCTCTTTAGCATGAGATCGAAGACAGTCTGCTCTTAGAGGATCCCCAAATGCGACCTAGTCCAGCTCTTTAAAAGGTAGCTTTTGTTTCTCTGAGAAACAAAATACATCTAAAAATACATAAAAGCACCACAGATACCTGAAATGCAAAATAACCAGCAAGCCATACTCTTTTTCTGCAGAATTAGCAGGCGTGTATCACCTGTTCCGGAGATCATTTATTTTACTATTTCTTTTTTTTACTGGCAGGACTGTCCAAAACCTCGATCTTGCCTTTTCCACCTTCTGAATGAGGAAGCTTAATATTATCTATGGTGACTTCAGAAGTGCCGTCATCTTCCCCATCAGATTCTGAGCTGTCCTCCGAGCTGTCTTGCGAACTCTCTTCTGAACTGTCCTCTTCTTTTGAATCATCTTGGTTCATCTCAAACAAGGCCACGTCCTGCCAAAAGCACCATGTGAGAAATTCATTTCAGGGCAGATCCCTAGAAAGTTGTAATAACACCCTTGCGAAGAACCAACAACACTGAACACAAATCCTGAAGCACACAGGACAAGAAATGTTTTTAATACAATATGGTACTTTTTTCCTTTCAGTTGCCATAGTCCACCATGATGATTTACAGGTATAAGAAGTCCCCCAAAACCTGATTCTATATATCCTGAACATGTTCAACAATATGTGTCCAACAAATATTAACAAACACTAACATGAACCAGGCACCACACTAGGTCCTAGAAACTCCACAAGAACAGCAACAAAATCTTTGCCTTTCTGGAACTTACGTTTTTGAAAAGGATTGGCAAACTACCGCTTGAAGGCCAAACCCAGCCCACTACCTGTTTTTGTTTAGCTCCTGAGCTAAGAATTTTTTTTTTTAATTTTTAAGTAGTAGAAGAAAAAAATCAAAAGGGTAGTATTTCACGAAACATGAGAATTATATGATATTCAAATTTCAGTGTCCATAAAGAAGTTGATAAAACCTGCCTATTCATACATATTATCTACAGCTGCTTTCATGCTAAAATGGCAGAAATAAGCAGTCATAACGGACACAGTAGCATCCACAAACCTGAGTATTTACTAGCTGGCCCCATACACAAAATACTTGCTGACCTCTGTTCTAGTTGGGAAGGAAACGCAATGATCAACTACATACAAGGCATAGTGTAAGGCTGTGAAAATGAAGAAAAGTAAAGAAGGACAGGATAAGCTTCTAACAGGGACATCAGGGAAGCCTCTTACTGAGGTGACTAGTGATGAGAGATGGAGGGAGTGACAATGCAGAAATCTCAGAGGAGCCTTGTACAAAGAGGGGAAGAAAACCTGGAGCAAGGAGACTGAATGGGACTGGAGGAAAGAGAGGGCGCGATGGGAGGTAAGTTAGACGGAGAGCTGGAGGCAGGGTCGTATGATTCCAAACTCATCAGAAAGGTGACGGGAATGTGGGCCACACACGGTGTGGAGAACAGATTCTAGGAAAGCAAAGGTAGAAACCGGAGAGTCTGCTGAGGAATCACGGCAAGAGTCCACAGGGAGACCACGATGACATGGACCAAGGGTGGCAGCAGGGGACATCGTGCAGAGTGGCTGGATCGGAGACATATTCTAGAGAAAGAGCTGCCTGGAGCTGCCAATAATGAGATTACTATCCGCAATGGTGTCAGCTCAGTCTAGACACAGTGTTATAAAGGGAACTCCACTGTAGAAAGAAGATATGTGGCCATGTGGAGAAGATTTATCATGCAGCTTAGGTTATTGGTCTGTTAAATGCATCCTGTATTTTTACATATTTAATGAAACCGGTTATGATTACTTTTTTCAGGCCTTCTTTTAGGAAAAAACAATCCACTTGGGATACAGTAAATTAATGCTTCAAGATAACAAATGTAATATTTGACTTGAACAAGCCCTCCTCTTCTCTACTGCTAACTTCCTAAACTCCATTCAAAGAAGCTTACTGATCTGTAAGATCCCTAATCATGAAATAACCACGTTCCCATGCAATACTGGGCACATCTGCTGAGTCCGCAAGAAGGAAAATAACACTTGAATTAAAACGGGAAAAGTCCTCTCCTTTATAGATGATGCGGCATACTGGTAATTCTACTTTATGAAATGAAAACAAAGCATCATTACCATTTGTATAACTTTTCCAAGAGCCCCATCAATGTCTTCAATATTGAAACGACCAGGTGGTGCAGCTGCCATTTCTTCTCTTAGCTTTTCATTTGCCTGAGCCATCTGTGGTAGAAAGGTCTGTACTTGGTCCAACACTAAGGAGAAAATATAGTTTATCAATATTTATGTGACTCTTCGGCCAAACTTCAACTTTTTTTTTTTTTCCTTAAGATTTTACTTATTTATTTGACAGAGAGATAGAGAGCACAAGAAGACAGAGGCAGGCAGAGAAAGAGGGAGAAGCAGGCTCCCTGCTGAGCAGAGAGCCCGATGTGGGACTTGATCCCAGGACCCTGGTATCATGACCTGAGCTGAAGGCAGCGACTTAACCGACTGTGCCACCCAGGCGCCCCAAAACTTCAACTTTTAAAATCCGGAATTTATTGTAAAACACTCCTGAATTCAACAGTAACAACAGTAACAGAAGTTTAAAAAAAAAAAACTTGCAAATTTCTTCCATTTTAAAAACCTCCACCCTCTTCTGAGTCCTTAAAGAGGACTACACAAGTTAGTGAGTATTTCTCAATGTTTATTTGTGTTTCCATATATCCTCAGAACTGCACATTCCTAGACGGCTGGCATCAGACCAATAGTAACTGAATAAGGAGAACATATGACTTAATAGTTAGCTGCATCAGGCTCTGAGGCTTTGGGGTCAGGCTGACAAGATTATTAACAGAACCCCAGTTCCACCCCTTACTCCCTCATTTACCTTAGGCAAGTTAACTAAGTAGCGGGTGTTTTTACCTGTCCAGTATCTGTTCCTCTTTCTTCTGATAACATAACCCTGACTTTCCTTTTAAGCTCTGTCACTCTTAGTCACTCTGGTGCCTTGCCCTTCTCACGTCTGTATGTTCCATAACCTTGGTCAACATGATTTGGGTCAGTGACATATTCAGTGACACTGTGATCTGGTCAGACCAGTAAGAGATCACCCCGGGACTCTGGCTGGAACTGTGTAAAAGAGATCCCTTCCTTCTGAGTGAGGAAATGACTGGCTGAGCTGCTGATAAACCGGCCAACCTGCCGCATGGTGAGAAGAGGCCGCTCTAGATTTAGCCAACACCTAGAAGGAGAGCTAGAGATACAGAGCAGCAGACCTCTAGGACCCCAAGCACCCGGATGCAGATATACCTGGAGTCACCACGCCTCCCCAAACCTCAATAAAATTGGCCAACATAATTTATTTTTTGGCTTAAGGCAATCAGAGCTGGAGTTTAGTCATTTGCAATCACAGGTGTCCTAAATAATAAATTTAATTTAACCATTCAAAACCTCAATGTACTCATCTGTAAAAACAGGAATGAGGACTATACAGGGGAATCAATAAACAAGGTAGGTCTAATTTCTTTAGCTCTCAAAAGAGGCCCAGCAGATAACTGTGCACGTAATGAGTTCTCAAGACTTGTTAAGTCTGACACAGCCACACAGTACATGACTGAACCGTCCAGAGTACAGAAGAAGAAAAGAAAAAGGTGGTAAAGGTCAAGAAATGGCCTTTCATGATAAAATAGGACTGCTGGAAGGATGCAGTGAGGTCCTAGAATACAAGCCCCCCACAATGGCGATCACAGTAAGGAAAGAAATGAAAGATCTAAGGAAGACTCGGATGGAACTCCACGAATGAAAATGCTGTCAGCGGCTCCTAAGACACTGACACCCCTAAGCGGTCCCAGGGGGAGCAGTGAACAGCTCCGGCCGGACTGAGGTTCACTGTGGCTTTCTACTGCTTCACTGGGCACAACTGAATATCAGAGAAAGTTCTTAAGAGAAGAGGGGAGTGAAGAAAGGGAAAAATACTTACAGGGACTCCTTTCTATCCGAACTGTCTGAAGAGTGGACTTTTTTCTGCAGTTAGGCTTGGGGCTGATGAGTAACCTGTCCCATATACCTGAAAGCACACACACACTTAGTTTACTACAGCATGAAGAAATGGGGGCCCGTCAGCAAACTTCCTCCGACCACTTTCAAGTCTTGAACGTTCCATGTTCCCCCAGGCATATGTAGAAAGAGAGGCTCCACAAGTCCCACCACAACATTTTACTTCTTTACGCCCAGCCACCTCCCCTTCCTTAGGCCTGTCTCATACATCTGTATGTGGCACCAGCGCTGAGGAGTAATAAGGAACTAACCTGCACCCTCTTGGATCAGAAACCCCCCAGGGACAAATGAGTGTCTGCAACGAAGGGACAGAGGAAGCAGCACAGAGTACAATGAGGGTTAAGTGAAGCCAGAAATGGTTACTCACTTCATTATATTGGGCAAATTACTCACCCTCTTGGAGCACTCGTTTGCTTATAAAGCATACCTGCCTTGTTACTGGACCTTCACTTAAGGATGTCCAACCTGGACAAAGGAGCCCTCTGGAAAACTTCTGTCCGTCCCCCACCCCCACGCACCTTTTCGGCCCCATCACTCACTACTCCTCAAATCAACAAACTCTTCAGCCCATCAGAGCCCAGAGGACAGGACTTGTCTTTCAAACTCAAAGCTTTGATCACCCTGTTTCCAAAGCCTGGAAAACCTCTTC